AAAATTTTACCCCACCCACCACCACTGGAACTGTCAGCCTGCTCTCTATGAGTCTCTCTATTTTGCTTATTAGTTCAGTCTGTTCATTAGATTCCACATGTGAGTGAGATCACGTGGTACTTGTCTTTCTCTGACTAGCGTATTTCACTTAGCATAATGCTCTCCAGGTCCATCCATGCTGTTGCAAAGGGTAAAATTTTCATCTTTTTTTACAGCCATTAAATGTTCTTTTTATAGCTTATCATTCTGTGGACATTTAAGTGCTTTTTTTAATGCGACTTAACCCAGTACACACTAGCAGACTGTATGTAGACTGTTAAAGGTTAGTTAGGAAGCAGCTCTTAACCACTTCAGATCCACCAAAAGGCCCTCAACACATGCTGGCTGCAGGGATACATTAAGTGAGAGGAAGTCTCGTCAAACATCCAAAGAACTCAACCAAGAAATGTCTCCACTTTTAAGACATTTAACTCGAGTACATTTTCTGAAAGCACGTTATCTCCAAGTTGGAAACAGGTAGTTGGAATTTTGCTTTTCAAGCAAGTAAATCACACTATGAAGTAAGAGCAACAGAAATGAGATCCACAGTGAGAAAGAGTGCACGGGGCTCATTTCTGGGCGACAAAGCACAGGAAAGTAGAGTTTTCAAGTCCACCTCAGACAACCAAGGCTACAGGTCATCTTATAAACCAAGTCAAGGACTTGTAGGGATTTATAGAGTGAAACTTCTCTACAAGTCTTACCTGGTGCTTAGTAAACTCTTGGTTCCATTTCTCTTTTGTCCAAGATGCATTTACTTCTAGGTCTGAGTACTCCCCAACCTTGAGATCTGAATGAGTTCTGACAGCTGACACTTGCTGAGCAACCTGGTTTGCTGATCAGAAATAGAAACTCCATGTAAATATGAGAAGTTGGCTCTAGCTGGTTCTCTGGACTAATGATTAAGACAGTTAAGGAAATCCTTATTATTATGTATTATACCTAACCACCTATTATTTAGATATTTCCAAAATGCACTTATTAGACTCACCACCCTGTCTCTGCTACTCACTTCGGAGAACCTTGTACTACCTTCCTTCTTTATAGCTGATTTTCTCCCAACCTAAAAATACAACTTCCTGTTTTGGTCAATAAAGTCAGATCATTTCACCAAGAAACACTACAGACTAACACGTATTTTATAGCACATAGAACTTTACACGCTGAGATCATCTAAAAAAGGAGGGGACTGACATGGTTGTATTGGTACCCTAGCAGCTCAGGTTCACATTTTATACCTTTCATTTTAATATAATCCCAAACCTAAAAAGCAGTATTTTTAACTAGTAAGAAACACGACTTTCTTTCTACAACTGGTATACCAAAATCATAAATCAAAGTTACCTATCTCATAATCAAGCAACTTTTGACATATTTTGTGAAGCTAAAACATCAAGAACAAAATAACTAACACACCTTAGACTATGTTCCAATAGTAATCCATTCAAAAGATATGCAGAATCAGAATTCAATGCAATTACATTTAAAAGAAAAGCCAGTTTTACACCTAACATTTAAAAGAAATACTACAGAGTTAAGAAATAAGCAGCTCTGCGCTCAGAGCTTCAACAAGCACCTTATTCTCTATATTTTCAATAATCTAGCCTAATGTCCACAGAGAATATCTCATCCAGTTTCCTTCATGTGATTTGAAAAAATAATTTTTATTACCCGAGTTGACCAAGAACACCGTCCTTTTCCCATGTCTGTTGAAGTCTCCCCTGATCTGATAGGACAGCTCTTTAGTGAGTAGTACTGCAATAAACGTCTTCCCTGAGCCAGTGTTCAAACAGACTATGGTATTACGATCCAGAGCTGCTTCGAGCAGTTCAACCTGGAAATACAGTGGAAAAAAAGATTATACACTTCTTATCTGAGTACAAAGTTAGAAAATGGGGCTTTCTTTTAATTCAGGAAATTCCACTGTTTTCTAAAATCTTCCTCCACTAAGCTTGCCAAAAAACATACTTTCTGCATCTGTCTATATGAATAATAACCAGAGGCATTAAAATGCCTGTTATATAGAGCTGTGCTGTGTAAACATATATTGAAACTCATTTACAATTTCCTTAAAAAAGATTTTTGCATGGACAGAGTACTTCTCTAGAATTATATGAATGACTAAATTTATAATAACCGAGGTTCTGCCAGTTCATAGTTGTTCAACCAACCTCAATTCCTACCCCGCTCATGAGGACAGACACATCCAAATGGATATTAAGGAACAGTGAGGTTTTCACTGGGGGGAAATAATAAGGAACTTCACAAATAAAACCATCAAACCAATTACCCAGCAGATGTTAGAAAAGAAAAGGATTATTAACAACAAAGGTATTTGGAATGAGAAAATTAATCAGAAGAGGAAAGCTTGAAAAGGTAAATGAGTTTTATTAAGTTGTGTCAACTATATGCTAATTTATTCCGTTTTAGTAAAAATGCTCCAGTATTAGTGTTCTCATTAGTACCTGATATTTTCTTGGCGTATAAATGTTATCATGAATTGCTTCTTGTTGCCATGGCAGTCCAAAGAAAGGACCCATTGGTGAGGAAGCAGGGGTCATGAGCTGCAGGCCTGCCATGCTGAGGGGTTGCAAAGCAGGGCTTTTCATTCATCCAGTGTTTCTTTCATTGCATTCTGCTCTAGCACAGCTGACTACAAAAGGGAAAAAGAAGACCATTACACAACCATGCGGGGTTAAAACAAAGCAAGCACGGAAACGAGAGACGCCAGAACATCACTCCCACGGGCCTTTCAAACTCTTCCTATAACTGGTTTAGCTTTTTCTTGATCTAAGAGGATTGTTTTAAAAGTCAAGCCTCCTATTCTCTCCACCCAGCAAGCCTATCCCTAGAAACTTGTCTAAAAGAATTAGACAATTGTACAAACATCTGAGTACATGGACGTTTATTGCTGCATTATTACTAAGAACAAGAAATAACTTTAAATGTATTAATAAAAATTTAGCTAAGCAAATTGTGGTATGGCTATAATGAAATGCGTTGAATCCACTATGATAATACACATCTATATTTATTGACAGAGAACCATGTCCTTAATATGTATAATGTGACGCTTTTAAAATATATGTATATATAAAACATGTCAGTGTATATATAAATATATTACAAATGTTGTTTGTGAAGTCTGTGATGCTATTATTGATACAATGAGGCAATGTGGCACTTAGCATTGTGCCTGGACAGAGGAAAGATTCGCATGAATGCCAGCAGTTAATCATTTCATCTAAAGACCAAAACAGAGGTCTTTTTCTCAACTAACAACCTAGTAGAGATGATCAACTATTTAAATAAGTATCTTTAAAATTATACATATCCTAGGTAAGTTAAAACAGAGCACATAATTTTGTGAAATGATAGTTTTTCATGGTATCTAAGCACTCATGTGCATTTCATATCTTCTTTCCAAAGATAAATTTGGTGTGTGAAACAACAAAATAAAAATTGAGTCTTTCTAAAATTCCTAACCTGCAGATAAGAGGGTTAGGGTTTCAAATCTCTATGTCAAAGTCCAGCATCAGCTTTCCTACTGTCAGCAGAATTTACTTGCCCGTAGAAGTGCATTTTCTCCCTTGTACTGCGCTTTGGAGTGTTCACTGTTTTTACTCTATGAAACTGAAAAGAAAGAATATAGCTCTTTGTTCCTTGGCAACAAAAACTTTGAATCTCCTGACATATGAAATTTATGACCCTGGTACAACACAGTGACTTCAGTTGCTGCGTCTAATCTAACAAGAAGTCTCGAATGTGGTCCTTTTTTACACACAGGCACAACAAAATTCTGATTGCAGAGATTACTTCAGCTGACCAGAATTCACCATCCTGCTAATATAAGTGCAATCTGGAGCGAGTGGAACAGAGGCATATGGCTGCAGGAGCCAAGGACCTCAGCAAGGCACGCACCATCTGTGGACCAGACAGTACAGCCCTTCTCATTACCTTCTCGGAGGAAGACGGCCAGCAAAGTACCCCGGAGAACATTATGAAAACTGCCAAGTCATTATTTTCCCGGGATCAAAGCAACACTCTGCTCCTTCTTCACTGAACCAGAGCCCCAACAGCCATTCCCTTCACCCACACTAAGCGCTCACTTTTCTCAATTCTGCAGGTCCACAGGATGCACACCCTCAGGTTCACCATTCAAGCTTTTTACTCAACACAGCTGCCAAGAATCCAAAGTGAAGAGAGATCCAACAGATCACTCTGAAGGCCAAGGCTGAGATCCGCAGGTACCTCCCACCCGGCTGCATGCGTGGGATCCCTCTACACTGCTCTTTCCTTACTACAGGCTGCTTCCTGTCTCAGATTACGTATCCTTAAGCCTGACACCTCACTCTGCACCCAAACCAATTTACAGACATGGTAGAAAGTATCAGGAAATCAGTCTAAATCCTGGTGGAGGGTGGAGGAAAAAGAGAACAGGGCAACAGTGTAAAACTCCAAATACACCTTCCTCCACCACGTCCTGCCAGGAATCAGCAGGACCCCCGCCTCCCTACCACTGTCACGTCACCATTTCTTCTCATATAGATGACAACAGCACTTATAATAATTAATAACTCAAAAAAAGTGTACAAAAACAAATGAGAAGAATGTTCTATTATTTTTAAAGGGAGGTCTGTATTCTTCAAAAATATATCATAAAATACAAAAAACACACACAAAAACACCACACACAAAAAACTATGAAAATGTTCCAGATTAAAGAAGACTACCAAATGACATGACAACTAAATGCAGAAACTAATCTCAGACTGGATCCTGTATGGCAGAACAGGGCCAATAAGTACATCACTGAGTCCACTGAAAAACTGCAGAGAGCAGCACTGTTAAACTCACTGACGCTGATAACCGCAATGTGACTATGGGCTCTGTAAGAGAATATCCTTGTTCGTAGGAAATACTCACTGAAGTATTTAGTGGTAAAGGGCAATGATATATGCAACTTATTCTCAAATGACTCAGAAAGAGAAACCATGTATATGTAGAGCGAGTGTGTGTGCAACTGATAAAGCAAATGGGACAAAATGGGTAAAGCACATATTCTTTGTTCTATTCTTACCTTGCAACTTTTCTGTAAGGTTGAAATTATTTTTAAATAAAGAGTTGTAAAAAGTAAATAAATTGACCAACTAGACCAGGATTTCCTTGAGGACAGGAGCTGTACATCTCACACACCCCTGTGTTACCACTGTACCAAACCATACCTGGGCCAGGGCAAACAAACAACAGAATGAAAACAATGTCCCCTGAGTGGCATAAAAACCTTCCAGCAGCCTTCCTCTCTGCTTTCCTAATTGGGACCATACCGCATATATTCAGGGACACCTACGCACACCTCATTCTTTCACTTGCACACGTGCTCCATGAGAACAAGATGTACGGTCTCATTCTCCGCAGCTCTTAAATTTCCTGGTACACGTACCACATACAGTTAAATAAGTAAATGTCCTATGAACTGAATCAGAGATTCATGAATGTCCACATAGTAACGTATAGAACAGAATCATAGGCAGCTCAAAAACTATTTCTATTTGGTTTGGAAATCCACACCCACCCAGTCCTCCTGGCCTTGAAGGGTGCAGCCAGAGGAAGATTTGCAAGGAAATGGAGGACAGCAACTTAACCCTCCCAGTTACAGTTTCCAGAAGGTTATAACATTTACATGAGTTTTCATTCCTTTAGCATAGAGTGGCTGGGCCCAGTAATATACCTCCTATTTAGGGAAAGCAGATCCAAGATTTAAAAATTCAACAGGTAATCCAATAATGTGAAAACAGAAAGACCTATAATTTTGCCAATTTTTTCTTCTTTTGGCATGTTGAAATACATTTTTTTTTCCCCTCACTTGCCTTAATGAAATGCTCTGAGTCCCTGCTGGTAAGTAAAAGTGCTACAGTTCATAGATGAACTGACTACAGTTAACTGCTTTAGCAGCGCCAACAGTACCTCCATCCACATGACTGTGTTTCAATCATAGATTTTAAATTTCTGGTCAATTTACTCTCATGAAATTGGTGAGGTTGTTTCATAGCTTCCATATATTATTCACTTAGAAACAACTTAGTACAACACACGAATAAACTCTTTTCCACTTTCCACACAGGATAAATCACTGATTTACCGTGTTAATGTTTGAGATCTCTGTGTTGCTGTTGTCTGAACTGCATTTTGACATTGTGATAGCAGTTTATTGGAAAATCACAGCATGCCCATGCTTCTGCTCTAAAAATAAATGCAAAAATAGCCAATTTTAAGATTCCTGTACTGAAAGTGAATATAAACACATGTATAAGAGCGTCTTATTGACATGAAGAGTTGAATAAAGAGCAGTAGTTTTGTATTAAAATTTAAACAAAAGACATTTGAGTTACTTTTGGATATTAAGTTACCCTAAGACAAAGAACAAGAGCAGGAATAATAGCAGGCCTCATTCCAAGAGATGTGGGGGAAAGAAAAAAGTTCAAGAAAAGGTTCTAAAATAATACAAGGAAATGAAACAAAGTAAATAAATTCTAAAGATAGCGACTAGGAAAATGGAAAAATAAAAGGGTAAGTGTGTGTTACTTCCTAAATCCACATACACAGAAGAAATAATAAAGGTCACCAGAAGAGGTAACTTGGCTGAAAAATCCAAATCACCTAGTAAATAGGTCTTCAATACGTGTATAAAATGTTATCAGCAATTTCAATTTCTCAAAATGAAAATAAAAACACAAACTCAAAGAACAGTTAAATCAATACTATAAACTCTTATAGAATTCATTTATGAATAAAAGAATTCAGGAACACAGTTCACCAATGTTAATATTGTAGAGAAATTTAAATTTAGGGGTGGCTCTACTAAGAGAGATTATAAATCGAAAACTAAGGAAGCACAAAATATTGAGATGAAAGCTTAATTTAATCAACAAATGTTGACTCTATTAGATCTGACACCGGATTTCATGAACTTACAATGCCTCTACTAGCACAATCAGGAAGAACTAACTGGCAATGGTCTTCTTTCCCTTATCTAAGTCCAGCCTAGCTGTTTAAAGAACATTCCTGTGGAGGTTAAACCTCATTTCATACACAAATTTACTTTGCTAGAAAGTTAACAAAGCAGGATGGGGAAACCTTAACACTATTTAAGAATGTACATATTTACCTCAAAATGCTGATTCTAAGTTCTTTCAGTTTCCAAGTCTGTATTAATTCATACCCTAGGTAACCTAAAAGCAATCAGAGAGAATATTTTAGAACATAAAACTCATTTTTAAAAACCAACTTTAAGAAATTTCCTACTTAACAAAATTTTCTTATTCAACTTATCAGAATAAGATCCCTGATAAAATAATTTAGTTATCTATGGGAGTCAAGAAAATAGTACATGCCTGAAAGAGTTCCCCTTTAAAATTTGAATTTATTACGTTCTAATACAATCAAAAATTTTAAAAAGCTGTTAGTATAATCCGACATAAGGGAGAATCTTTGGTAGTAAATTACATTACCTCCCGTAAAATCTGGCTTTAAAAACACAACACTGTGGTAAATTGGTGTCACGCTTTACACAAGCATCCAGGCATCCACCTCCCTACCTCCCTACCTCCCAGTTTGTCAGTTCCTGCTTTCTACAGCTACCTCACGCTTTGACTTATAATTCCACTAAATAGTGCCACCTGATAAAATGCAAATTTGGTACACCAGCACCACTCTCCCCCTCTTTTCTAGTTCATATTCACTTTTTTTCTAAAAGCACCATAACTAAAGTAACAAGCTGATAATCCTTTAAAATTCATTGCAGCCCCACTATTACTGCCGAGTTAATGCAAATTATTTCCCTAGACAATTCTGTATAGATACATTAGAAAGTTAACATGCCAAATACAATGAGAACTTATTTTATGTTCATAATACAGAGCCAATAGGTCACGTTTTCTGATTTTGAGGATCATGACTTAAATTACAAACACGCAAACTCCTGTTTGATAGGCCCCTTTGTTGCACATACCAGACACTGTCAAGTTTTAGTATAAACCAACAAACTTAATCCACATTAGCATCTAATCCAGTATATGGCTGCAGCCTTTCACACAAAGGCTAAGTCTCTCATCTGAAGTCTAAAGGCACAGAGCTTCCTGGTGTCCATTTTCAAAACTGGTAACAGAGAAGTTCCACTCATTCATTTTCTTGTAATGTGTCACAGATCCTGATACTATTAACTTTAGAAATTTTAATGTCCAGATTGTATTCCTACTCTGGTAAAGCCCAAATGCACAGCTACCATAAAGTCTCATAGTGAACACAACCAAAGAAAAAAACACGACCACTGATATTAAAACACGGCGAAAAGTACTTCGGTAAACTAACAGATAAAACTAAAAATGCTTGAAGAGCTTTTAGTTCCTAGTAACTGACCAGAAAAGCAATTCTGAGATGTTCTAAAATAAAATTACAGAGGAGAGAGAGAGAGAACAGTTAGCCTGTTAACAGCTCTGAGCCAGCTCTAACAAAGACTGCTCACACTCCTTGGCCTATGGTGGAATTTCGGCTTAATTTCCAGTGGCTATTGCCCAGATTATTCTAAAGAGAGAACAGTCAGGCACCTCAAACCCCAGGAACCTCAGCTTATTTATACCTGAGCTTTCCGAACTTGCCCACAACCTACACAAGGCACCCTGGACTCTGCGCCTACCCCAGAAGTAGCCCCACTTCGCTGTCTCCTGTCCTCTTTGTCTACCGCCAGCGGGAGTTCTTTCAGACCGGCTCACATCTCCCTCCCCTCCCTGATGTGTAAAGATGCTTGCAAAGCTCTGGGATGACGAACTTGCTGCCTTCCCACCCATCCTCGCTGCTGGGGGTCTGTTTAGGTTCCATGCCCCAAGACCAGTCTTCTTTTCTGCTAGCCATGGCCTAATAAACGCTTTCTTTCAAAGACTTTCAGCCTTCCAGGAAGTTAAATTTTTTTGTTTACCATAACAATATGCTATAGCATCCAAGGCATTATTTTAATTCCAACCAAGCCTAAATTACTACAGGCACCCATGGCTCTGGATATAAAGTGACATCTTTATATGGTTGCTTCTATGGTTGTTGGTATAAGGGCAAAACTAAAAATAAGAGGCTTAATTCTCCCAGTTAAAAATAAACTGAAGGGACTCCTTCCTCATCCGTTTTTTTTACAGAATTATTTCTTAGTTCTTTTCAAATGTATGTGAATCTTAAACCTCCAGCTCTTCTCACTCATCAGGAGTGTTTCCTTAAGGACTGAGAGCCATCTCAGAAATGAAATCAAGAGAGATAACGAGCACCCTGGCAGGGCTCCGGTGGCTGCAGCGCTGCCGGAACACCAGAAGGCTGCAGGTTCGACCCCTGGTCAGGGTGTGTAAGGGATGCAACCAACTGCCGTCTCTCCCACATCAACGTTTCTCTCTCTCCCTCTCTTTCTCTCCTTCCTCTCTCTCTAAAATCAATAAACATGTCCTCCAATGAGGATTTAAAAGAAAGATTATACACAATCTTCACGTTTCCTAGAGAGAGATGAGCTTAACTGGGTGCACCTGACTCCAAACTGCAACACCTACCTCCAGTGATATAGACAAGAAATTAGCGATGTATCTTGACAGCATGGATGTAATGGGTTGCAACCACAGTCTTTTTGATTTCTTCAGTGCCTAACCTGTGATGCACATCACATTCTGGTTCAACGTTTACATAATAATAAAGCTGTTTTCTTTCCTTCTACCTTGTGGAGAGATTTTCTGGGTTGTAAGGAGATTTTGTTTCTAATTCTATTTCCCCAACATCAGCTTTTAAAAAAATAAAGTCCAGTTCTCAAATAGTATATGCATGCCAAATAACAACATTCCATTTTGTGGAATTAAATTAGAGAAATCCTAAAATATGCTGCCCAACTATACTAGGGAAAGGAGTTTTAAAAAAGAAGAGGGAGCTAAGTGGGCAAACAGCCTTATTAAAAAGAAATCTGCACACAGAAGGGATCCAAGTTGTTTAAAAACAACTCCCTCTAACCTCCCTTCTATATTAAAGTTAGAAAAGAGTCTCAACTGTTTGTTTTTGTGGTTCTTTTAATGTTTTTTTTAATTGTCTTTAGCGAGAGAGGAAGGGAAAGAGAGAGAGAAACACCGATTAAAGAGAAGCATCAAGGAGCTGCCTTCTGTATGCCCTCTGCTGGGGATCGAGCCCGCAACCCAAGCCTGTGCCCTGACTGGGAACTAAACCCAGATCGCCTGGATCCTAGGTCGAAGCTCAACTGCTGAGCCATGCCCGGCCAGGCCTTTTTTATTTTTTAACGTATTTTTTATTTAAAGTCATCTGAATGCCAGCAAGGGGTCCAGTGTCAGGAAAAGCAAGGTTATCAGACTCCACTACCTCTCTGGAAGGTTGTTTCCCTGCCTACAAGATAGGAACCCCTGACTATTGTGAGGATCAAGTCAGATCAAGCATTACATATGAAGCTTGGTTGACAAAAAGTGTTTACAACACAGAAAATGCTCACTAAATGGTCATTTTTAAAAACCACACTATCTTTACCTAGAATCATGTTTTCAAACAATTCTTAAAACTGTAAGGAATTTCTTTAAAAAAACCTAAAATGTTTTATTAATCCTGAAATTCAGTAGAGAAAATGTATTCTCATATAAATTTAAACTATACAAGGTTTTATACAGTATTTTACCTGACGAACATGAAAACCCCAAACTCCAAACCACCTAGTCATTATAAATTTACAGGATAAAAATCAAATTTAAATCACAAACTATAGTATATAATGTAAAATAAAGTTAAATAGCTTTGTATCCACTAGTTTACTTTAAAAGAAAAAAAAGTACTACATGCTATTCCTGTTGGTTCTACGGACATCACTGAAAATATTACTTCCTTAGCTGTTTCTTAGGCAATAAAATGGTGCAGATGGGCAAGAAATCATCATCATCAAAATGGACAAGTTTTGAAAACAGAAAATGTAAGAAAAAACAAAAAGATAAGAAATATCCAAAATTTCTATAGCATACAAAATAAGTAATTCAAGGATTTATTAACTGCCATTTGGTGAATATGGATTATGAAAAGACTAAGGTCTAATCAAAGACTGAGACCAAAGAGGAGAGAAAAGGGACACAAACTTCAGGGATTTAAACACCAATATCTTTAGATACTTAATTACACAAATATTTCCATCATTACTTGTCATATCTGTCATTATTAA